TGCAGCCGCCTGCACCACGGCCACGGCACTGCCCATCCACCCCTGCCACCCTACGTGCCGCTGCGGCTCTGCATCGCTGCAGGGAAAGCACCAGCCACAAGCCCATCTTCCCCTTTGCTTTCACATGACACCCACACACTCCAGCACAACCCACTACCAAACCTGTCCTCCCTCACTAAATTGCAATCACAGCTCCTTACCTGACACACTCGACATCTTCCGCTTTCACCCAGGCCCCTGTTAACCGAAGCACACACCATGTTCCCGAGGACGCTGGCTGATGTGCCCACACAGAAAAGCTCTCGCTCCCTTCGCTGTGAGCATCCACAGGCAGACAGCAGCCTCAGGAGCTGCGGAGGGACCACGACCTTCCCTGTGAGCAGGAGCACCAACAGGACCAGGAGCCAACTCCTGGCCATACCACAGGCAGGTGATGGCAGAGGAGCCCCGTTCTCTGCCATCCCGGCAGCACTGGTGGCCGGCTGCAGCCCGGACCACACAAAACCAGCAGAGCCCTTTCCAGCCAGGCATTGTCTCAGCTCTGCGTGCGACATCGCCAGCACTGTCAAGATGCAGTGCCAGATCTGGCGCAGCACAGTGCCAGGACTGCAGCCCCTGGGTGCCGAGGCGGGAGGCGAGCAGCATCCCCAGGAAAGCTGCACACACCTCTGGGACATCCATGTCCACAGGGACAGGGATGACTGGTCAAGAGGGCGGCTCTCCCCTCTGTCCCCTCCTGCAGTGAACACACCCCAGAGCCGTGTGACTGACTTGCTCCGGGCTGAGGGGCACAGCCCCCTGCATGGCACAGCCAGAGGTTTTACTTTGCTGCCGTATGTGGTCCCAAACACTCCCCCTGTGAGCACTGCTGGTCCATCCGCTCATGGGCGAGTTATGGCAAGAGACCTCTGGCGCAAGCCAGCGTCCAGCTGCCCACTTCAAAAGCTCTTCCCAGAAAATACAGAAGTGAAAGCATTAGTCAGGCTGGGAGGGAAAAAACAAAACACAACAAAGGCAGATTTCAGGATTTAATTTGGGACTCGACAGCTCTCAGCCATGTTGTGTTTGCAACAACAGAAATCCTCCCGGGGCACTAAACCCACACGTGCCCTTGCTCAGCCCCAGCGCCAAGAAGCTGATGTCTGCCCAGGCATGAGCCACTCTCCAGCGCTTTGCCATGGCCAGGAGAGCTGCTGCCAAAAGCCCAGCATGGCACTGACCCTCTCACCACACCTTGCCCACTGCCAAGGGAACTGCCGACATGAGAATCAATGCAGCTGCACCACCCTCGAACAGCACCGAGGCTCCTCCAAAGAGCCTGTGTGCCCCAGTCGGCAGCTACAACCAGCTTTCCCCCAGTGTCCTTGTCCCCAGCGCAACACCACAGCATCAACCAGCCCTTCCCTGTCCCAGGATGTCACCCAGCAGGAGCATCAACCAGCAACCATCGGAGTCAGGAAGAGAAAGCCAGCATGGGCAGCCTCATCCCCTCCAAGGTCCTCCTCTCCAGCCCCAAGCTGCCTTGTGCTTTCCTCTGGATTGCTCTGACACCGGGATGCCCAGGAGGACACACGAGAGGGACAGCAGCAGCTCTGGACATGCAGCCACCCCATCGCCAGCCACAGCTCACATCTGCAGAGGGTCAGACCCCGGCCCGGGGCGATGCACCCCTGTGGGACCAAACCAGGAACCTGGCCCAAGTACAAACAGTTGTATCAGAGGCTAGCACAGCTCTGCTATCTGTAATGCAGAGAGAGAGAGCAGGGAGGGCTGGAGATATAAAAATGTCTTTTTTTATTTCTCCTAATATGAAACAGGGTATATGAAAGTGTTTGCTCACTTGGAGTGAAATTACTCTTGGCTGCAGCAGCTCCGAGAGCAGCAAAGGCCCCGCAGAGCTGGTTGGGCTCCAGCCTGACAAAGCACAACTCGCATTTCATCACTTGAAACAATCCTTATCGATGTCCCTACAGCTCCAGCTTTCCAGTCCCACCTCCAGTGCAGTGAAAGAGGAAGCCCAGTCTTCCAGGCAAACTGGGAGCACAATGTTAGTGCCTCCGGAAAGCAAAGCGCCCGCCTTCCCCAACACCAGCACTGGGGCTCTGGGCACCCCCTCCATGGGCTGCGCTGCAGCGGGGGGTGCCACAGGCTGGGACCTGGGAGCCCAGCACCCCGCTCACTGTGCCACCAGCGTGACTGTGCCCCACAGGTACCCCCAGACCCTCTTCAGCACAGGAGCCTGGGACCGGGACCCCGTCTCTGCTGTTCTCCTGCCTGCACAGGCAGGGGCCCCACTCCAGCACCTCAGGGGCAGGGAAGAGAATGTGAGAGAAGGGAAAGCTCTGCTGTTCCTTCAGCCTCATTGCTCCTTCCTTTAGAAATCACTCAGAAGAAGGAAACCTGCCAGAAGACACATTAGGGCTGTAACAGGAGAAGGCTGCAGGCAAGGAGCTGTCAGTCACGGGAAAAAATAAACAGCGTGTATTGATTGTACTGCAGTCTCCAGTGCAGCGAG